GTGAAATTCCCTTAATTTCCAATCCAGTGATATTCACTTATCAAATAATTATCAGATATATGGCACTAAAAGAAAAAAAGAATAAAACATTAAAAAAAAAAATTTTCAGGCCAGGCGAGGTGGCTCATGCCTGTTATCCTAGCACTTTGGCAGGCCAAGGCGGGCAGATCACGAGGTCAGGAGATTGAGACCATCCTGGCTAACACGGTGAAACCCTGTCTCTACTAAAAACACAAAAAATGAGCCGGGTGTGGTGGCAGGCACCTGTAGTCCCAGCTACTTGGGAGTCTGAGGCAGGAGAATTGCTTGAATCCGGGAGATGGAGGATGCAGTGAGCCGAGATCATACCACTGCATTCCAGCCTGGGTGACAGAGCAAGACTCCGTCTCAAAAAACAAAACAAAACAAAACAAAAATTTCAGATTCAGTTCATAAAGAAATGGCACAAGCAATTCTGCAAAGAAGGCAGAATTTAAGTTAAAACGTATAAGACAGATAAGACATCTTATTAAAGAACCCCATTATTTCCCTAATTTTCCAAGCCAGAAATATGGGAGTGATCCCTAACTCAACCCTGTCTACCCACATTGATCAGTGCTGCCCCTAAATGTCTTATAAATGTGTTCACTTCTCTCATTCCCACTGGCACTACTTTAGTTTCAGCCATAATTATTCTAACCTAGGCTCTGACAAGATAAGTCCCCTTAACTGGTCAAATACACTAATCCAATCCATTTTCCAACTGCCCAAGTAATCTACTTAAAATGCAAATTGTAGGCCAGGCATGATGGCTCACACCCATAATCCTACCACTTTGGGAGGCCAAGGCGGGTGGATCACTTGAGGTCAGGAGTTCAAGACTAGCCTGGCCAACATGGTGAAACCTTGTCTCTACTAAAAACACAAAAACTAGCCAGGCATAGTCGCACAGGCCTGTAGTTACAGCTATTCGGGAGGCTGAGGCAGGAGAATCACTTGAACCCAGGAGATGGAGGTTGCAGTTAGCCAAGATCGTACCACTGCACTCCTGCCTGGGCAACAGAGCAAAACTCTGTCTCAAAAAATAAAAAAGTAAAATAAAATAAAAATAAAACGCAAATTGTATCATTTGATACTCTCCTCCCTTAAAAATCCTTCAATATCTCTATCATGGAGAAACTCAAATTCCTTAACACAGTATAAAAGCCTTTTCTGATCTGGCCTCATTCCCCCACTTCACATCTGGCTTGCTTTTCTCTCTCATTTCGGAGTCACCGGCCGGCAGTGTCTTTTCCTTCATTTGTTGCCTGGCTAATTCTTCCCTATACCTACCCTGACCCCTGTTACTTTTTCTTCGAAAATTTCAAACCAACAAAAAGTTAATAAAATAATAAAATGAATATCTACCTGTCATCTAGATTTATCAGTTGTTACATTTTTTGCCACATTTATATCATGACACTTAACTCCTAAAACTTCAGCAAGTATCTCTTATGAACAAGAACATCTTTCTACATAATGAAACAATGTCATAATCATATGCAAAATATTTTTTTAATTTCTTAAACTTTTTTCAACATGGGCTTATACACCCAAAATATGTAACACTGACACAATATTACCTAACACGTAGTCCTTATTGAAATTTTCCCAATTATTCCAAAATGTCCTATAATTATAGTTTGTTTGACTCAGGATCAAACCAAGGATCATGCATTTCATTTGGTGGTTATCTTCGGCCCCTTATTTTTCAGGACTCGATTCTGGAATGATATCCCCTGGGAAGCCCTCTATGACTCCCCTACCCAGTCTGGGTTATGTGCCTCTTTCAGATGCTTTCATACCACCACTGTCATGGTATCATTACACTATTTTGCAATCATCTGTTTATCTATCTGTCTCTCATAATAAACAGTAATCTCTTTGAAGACTTTTTACTCTCCAGGCCCTACTGTCTGGCTCATAGTAGATATTCAATAAATGCTGGCTGAACAAATGAATGAAAACACTAGAAACAGGAAATATAATTGTTATGGACTGAACTGTGCCCCTTAAAACTCATATCTTGAAGCCCTAACCCCAGTGTAATTGTATTTGGATAGTGGGCCTTGAAAGAGGCAATTATGGTTAAATGAAGTCATAAAGTGGGAACCTAATCCAATAGGACTGGTGTCCTTATAAGAAGAGGAAGAGACACCAGGAATATGCATGCATAGCGCAAAAGCCATGTGAGACCAGAAGAAGGCAGCTGTCGGCAAGCCAGGAAAAGATTCTCACCAGAAACCAAACCTGCCAGCATCTTTACGTTGGACTTCCAGCCTCCAGAACTGTAAAATATTCTGCTGTTTAAGCCACCTAGTCAATGGTATTCTGTTATGGCAGGCCAAGGTGACTAATATAATGACCAAAATCTATGCGTCCTGGTTCCTATGAATGATGGAATGCTAAGCAAAACCTACACCACTGCTAGAACAAAGATTCCTACAAAAGACATTCCCCCTGCTTCCGGAAAACTGAATCCCACACTTAACAGAAAGAATGGCAAAAAACATTATTCTGATACTGTGACATATAAATTTAAAGAAAAAAATGGATCTTCAAGAACACAAACACCAAAATTATTAGTATCAATCACCATCTGTAGCAATTCAATCAAATGGAAAAGATAGTAGAGTTACATAAAGAATGTAAAGAGTAAAAGTGAGTTTGTTGAAGGTAAAAAAATAAAAATTAAAAATTAAAAAAAGGCTGGGCACAGTAGCTCACACCTGTAATCCCAGCACTTTGGGAGGCCAAGGCAAGTGGATCGCTTGAAGCCAGAAGTTTGAGACCAGCCTGGTCAACGGAGTGAGATCCTCATCTTTATAAAAAATTTAAAAAATTATCTGGGCATGATGGCACTTGCCTGTAATCCCAGATACTCAGGTGGCTGAGGCAAAAGAATCACTTGAACCCAGGAGGCAGAGATTGCAGTGAGCCGAGATTGTGCCACTGCACTCCAACCTGGGCGACAGAGCAAGACTCTATCTCAAAAAAAAAAAAAAAAGAAAAAAGAATGTAAAGAGCACACATCAAAAGGAAATTTTCTGCGGGGCTTAGAATAACATTATAGACTCATCTTCCCAGTTTCTGCACTTTAATATCTGCTGCTAAGTTGCTACATATCTATGGTCATCTTTCTCACACAGACTGTGAAGACAATGGCAGAGACCATGTCATGGGGTGGGAGCAACTGCTTTGATCACTGACAGTGGCTGGGACAGTGTTCTATTCCAGGTACACTCTTCATAATTTCTGGAAAATTATCATTATAGACAACCGACCCACCTTCTAATCATTCGGTATCACTAGATTCTCAACAGAACAACTGATTGGTCTACAAGCCCTCTCTCAAACACAATTCCTCATGTTGAGCTTCACAGTTATTATCTCGGAGACTCAGAAAATGATTCAGCATATGAGCTTGCTAACTCAGTAGTCTGACGCATTGGAAAAAGCCAAAATTTTTTTGATAAACAAAAAGCATTTTGGTAGAACTTAAATAAAATCAACAGAGTATTCACAGATACTCTGATTTTCAAACGGGTCATTTTAAGAAACTTAGAAAATTGGCCGGGCATAGTGGCTCACACCTGTAACCCCAGCACTTTGGGAGGCCGAGGCAGGCAGATCATGAAGTCAGGACATCGAGACCATCCCGGCTAACACGGTGAAACCCCATCTCTACTAAAAATACAAAAATATTAGCTGGGCATGATGGGGGGCGCCTGTAGTCCCAGCTACTCAGGAGGCTGAGGCTGGAAAATGACGTAAACCCGGGAGGCGGAGCTTGCAGTGAGCCGAGATCATGCCACTGCACTCCACCTTGGGCAACAGAGCAAGACTCCGTCTCAAAAGAAAAAAAAAAAAGAAACTTAGAAAATTGAGAATTTGACCAAATTCTATGGCCACTTTGCTTTTTCTGCAGTACCTAGAAAAGGACACAAATCCACTAAATAATTCTTCCACAAACAGCTTACAAAGTTACTGTCTGAAATTTACTTCGGATGCTGAATAACATAAATGTAATCATTCAAAGTATGCACATGGTCTGAACTTGGTTTTGTTTTTTCTTTTTGAGACAGGGTCTCACTCTGTCACCAGGCTGAAGTCCAGTGGCACGATCTTAGCTCACTGCAACCTCCACCTTCCGCCTCCTGGGTTCAAGTGACTCCCCTGCCTCAGCCTACCAAGTAGCTGGGTCTACAGGCGTGTGCCGCCACACCCAGCTAATCTTGTATATTTTAGTAGAGATGGGGTTACACCATGTTGGCCAGGATGGTCTCGATTTTCTGACCTTGTGATCCACCTGCCTCAGCCTCCCCAAGTGCTGGGATAACAGGCCACCGTGCCTGGCCTATGGTCTGAACTTGTAAACATCAGGTTATAAAGTGAAATCAGTGTTAGATTCATATAAAAAAATTTTTTTATTTAAGAGACAAGGTCTTGCTCTGTCACCCAAGCTGGAGTGCAGTGGCGTAATCATAGCTGAGTACAGCCTGGAACTCCTGGGCTCAAGCGATTCTTCCACCTCAGCCTCCCAAGTAGCTAGGACTACAGCCACGTGCCACCACAACCAGCTAATTTTTTTTTTTTATTTCTTTGTAGAGAGGGAGTCTTGCTAGCTTGCTCAGGCTGGTCTCAAACTCCTGGCCTCAAGCAATCCTCCCACCTTGGCGTCCCAAAGCACTGAGATTACAGGTGTGAGCCACTACGTCCAGACTGTATCAAAATCTTGACCACACTTGGGACTCAACAATTAACTGTTATTATTTCAAAGTATTTAATAAATCTCTGAACTTTTTTCTATGAAGTCTAATGTTTGATACTGAAAAACCTAAAGTCATTGGAGAGTTTTTGCTTGCACACTTATTTTTCAAATAAAAATTAAACCAAAGGGAAAGAAACTACAAATACAGACAGGTCTGGCCCTTCACGCATATATACATACATACAGGGTTTTTATTCTTAACATCAGTTACCTTCTGCCCTTCTCACAAAGCTTCTCAATTTCAGCTTTCAGATCCTGCTCCTTCTGCAAAAACTCTTTCTTTTCTTTCTCTATCTTCTTCTTTGTTTCTTCTCGCTTTATTGTCACATCCTGAATAGCCTTTAATATCTCCTGAGTTCCACACAATTACAGTCGCACACAAATAAAAAAGAAAATAAGTTAGTTCTTTTGATGCGAAGGTTATTTTCAACTATCATAAATTCACGTGTTGACTTTAGTGAATTCAAATTGAATTGAAAGAATGTGGTTGATGAGTAGCTCCAAAAGCCAGTATTCAGACCTAAAGGAGAAAGTTACAGTAATGCAGATCTCAACTCAACAGGAAAAATAACTTCTAGCAATTGCAATCGTTCAAAAATGGAATATACTGCCTCGTGAAGCAGTAAGCTCTCCATTACTGGTGTTCAAATAAAGGCTGAATGAACACCTGTCGAGAATGCTGAGAAAGGTGTTCTCGTACCAGGTGAGGGTCTGTTACATCCAACAAATATTGTTTTGTTTCATTTTGTTATGATTCTACTTTATTAGGAATGGGTTTTGTCTGTTTCACTCTTTAACAACAACAAATATATACATATATACACACACACATATATATGTACACACACACACTTTTTTTTTTTTTTTTAAATAAGAAGTCAAACAGGCCAGGAACAGTGGCTCATGCCTATAATCCTCGCACTTTGGGAACCCAAGGCAGGAAGATCGGCGTGTCCAGGAGTTCGAGTCCAGCCTAGGCAACACAGAGACCTTGTCTCTACAAAAAATAAAAAAAATTAGCCAGGTGTGGTGGCACATGCCTGTAGTCCAGATACTCGAGAGGCTGAGGTGGAAGGATAGCTTGAGCCCAGAAAGTCAAGTCAAGGATACAGTGAGCCTTGACTGCACCCACTGTACTACAGCCTGGGCAACAGAACAACACCCAGTCTCAAAAAAAAAGAAAAAAAAAAGAAAAAGTAAAATAATACAAAGGTGATAAAGAGTCACTCCCCCACTTCATACCACTTCCACCCATAAGAGTGATCAATGTGTTAACTGCTTTGTATTATGCTTTCACATCTTTCTCTATGCTCACACAAAGACATACTTACGTATGCATTTCTTTGCTTTTTTTTTAATGAGGTTGTTTTACATACATTACTTTGCATCCTGATTTCTTTTACTTGACATGAATGTATTATGTCAATAAATATCGATCTAATTCAAAAATAGCTGTATAACATATGGATATATCTAATTTATCCAAACATTCTCTATTAAAAGTCTATGAGGGGTCTGGCACAGTGGCTCACGCCTGTAATCCCAGCATTTCGGGAGGCCAAGGTAGGCAGATCACGAGGTCAGAAGATCAAGACCATCCTGGTTAACACAGTGAAACCCCGTCTCTACTATTAAAAAAAAAAAAAATCAGCCAGGCGTGGTGGCAGGCACCTACAGTCCCAGCTACTCAGGAGGCTGAGGCAGGAGAATAGCATGAATCCAGGAGGTGGAGCTTGCAGTGAGCAGAGATTGTGCCACTGCACTACAGCCTGGGTGACAGAGTGAGACTCCGTCTCAAAAAAAAAAAAAAGTCTATGAGTATTAATACTTTTCTTTGAGACAGGGTATCGTTCTGTTACTCAGGCTGGAGTGCAGTGGCACAATCTCAGCTCACTGCAACCTCTGCCTTCTGGGCTTAAGCAATCCTCCCACCTCAGCCTCCCATGTAGCTGGGACCACAGGTATGCACCACCATGCCTGGCTCATTTTTTGTATTTTTGGTAGAGATGGGATTTTGCCATGTTGCCCAGGCTGGTTCGAACTCCTGGACTCAAGTGATCCACCAGCCTCGACCTCTCAAAGTGCTGGGATTACAGGTATGAGCCACCACATCCGGCCTTGCCTTTTTATTTCAATTAACTCAAAAATAAAATTAAAGTTTGAGTTGGGTATGGACGTCTCAAACTTTAATTTTATTTTTGAGTTAACTGAAATAAAAAGGCCTCCTTTGGGAGGCCAAAGCGGGCGGATTTCTTGAGTCTGGAGTTCAAGACCAGCCTGGGCAACATGGCAAAACCCCGTCTCTACCAAAAACATAAAAAATGAGCCAGGCATAGTGGCATGCACCTGCGTTCCCAGCTACTTGGGAGGCTGAGGTGGGAGGATCACTTAAGCCCAGCAGACAGAGGCTGCAGTGAGCCAAGATTATGCTACTGCACTCCAGGCTGAGTGACAGAGTGAGACTGTCTCAAAAATAAATAAATACATAAAGTTTTTAAAAAATTAAAGTTTGATCAGAGACTGCTGCTTAACTCATTGACAATTTCAATATAAGCAAAATACCTGGTGATTCTTCATTTCTTCTTCTCTCCTTTGCTGAAGCTGCTTTAATTGCACTTGGAGCTGATTCTCCACTTGCCTCTGTTTGTCCAGGACCTCCTGGTAACGCTCTTTCAACAGTGTTCTCTCTGTCATCATTTTATCCTATTATGAACAAGATAAGAAAAGTTTATTTCCTAATTTAATCACAAGAAACATTCACCAGTGACTGTCCAAGGCATTGTATAGAGCTCTATGACCGCACTATCCAATAATGAAGCTACTAACCATATGTGGCTATATAAATTTAAATTCATTAACATATGATGAGATTGGCTGGGCATGGTGGTTCACACCTATAACTGCAGCACTTTGGGAGGCTGAGGTAGGCGGATCACTTGCGTTCAGGAATTCGAGACCAGCTTGGGCAACATGGCAAAACCTGGGCTCTTAAAAAAAACAAAAATTAGCTGGGCATGCCGGTACCCGACTGTAGTCCCAGCTACTTGGGAGGCTGAGGTGGGATGATCGCTTGAACCTGGGAGGCAGAGGTTACAGTGAGCTGAGATCACGCCACTGCACTTCAGCCTAGGCGAGAGAGCAAGACTCTCTCAAAAAAGCGTCCAGGAACATGATTCCTTACTGGTTAATAACACTGAAAACTGATGGATCCTCTAAAGATGTCTGGGAACCTGGTATTCAGACTGAACAACTCAGCAAGCTTTCATATAAAGTCTGGATTAGAAGTGAGGCTTCTAGACAAGGCACGGTGGTTCTGGCCTATAATCCCAGCACTTTGAGGGGCCAAGGCAGGAAGACTGCTTGAGGCCAGAAGCTCAAGACCAGCCTGGGCAATGTAGTAATACCTGGTCTCTATCAAAAAACAACAACAATAAATAAAAAAATAGAACTGCTTCTAAAAACAGTTTAGCTCTGCCACCCCCATGTCAGTAAATCAAGAAAATCAATGGTTACCTTTCAAAGGGACACTAAAATTTGAAGAGGGCCAACTTAAAACACATTTAGTATGAAGTAGCCCACATAATATTTAAACTGAGAGCACTAAACTGAATTTTTTCATTAAATAACTGTTTTCAAAGAAAAAAAATTTTAAAAACGAACAGGGAAAATATCATACTATAATCATTTTTACAAAAGGCTCTCAAGGCCAGGCACGGTGGCTCACACCTGTAATCCCAGCACTTTGGGAAGCTGAGGTGGGCGGATCACCTGAGGTCAGGAGTTCGAGACCAGCCTGGCTAACATAGTGCAATCCCGTCTCTACTAAAAATACAAAATTAGCCAGGCATGGTGGCACATGCCTGTAATCCCAGCTACTTGGGAGGCTGAGGCAGGAGAATCACTTGAACCCAGGAGGCAAAGGTTGCAGTGAGCAGAGATTGTGCCACTGCACTCCAGACTGGGTGACAGAGCGAGACTCTGTCTCAAAATAAATAAATAAATAAATGAATAAATAAAATAAAAAATAAAAAAGACTCTCAAGATAGGACCTTGGCTTTGGGACAAGCTAATCTTTAGTCCATGTACTGAAATGTGACTAAGGTGTCCCAAACAGCTGATTACTCAGCATCACACCTTTCCAGGGATTCTGAACCTGGATTCTACAGGTGGACCTCAGGGAATCTTTGAACTTTCTGCAACTGGTGTATGTATATATCTTTCTGAGACAAGAATTCAAAGTTTCCAAAAGATACTGAAAGAGGATCTTAACCAAAGAAAAGTTGAAACCAGTAGATTATTCTTTTTTGAGACAGAGTCTCACTCTGTGACCCAGGCTAGAGTGCAGCGGTGCAATCTCGGCTTATGGTAACCTCTGCCTCCCGGGTTCAAGCGATTATTGTGCCTCAGCCTCCCAAGTAGCTGGCATTAAGGGTGTGAGCCAACATGCTCTGCTAATTTTTGCATTTTTAGTAGATATGGGGTTTTGCCATGTTGGCCAAGCCGGTCTTAAACTCCTGGCCTCAAGCAATCCGCCTGCCTTAGCCTCCCAAAGTGCTGAGATTACAGGTGTGCTCCACCGCACCCAACTTCTTTTTTTTTTTTTTGAGATGGGATCTCGTTCTGTCTCCCAGGCTGGAGTGCAGTGGTGTGATGTCGGCACACTGTAATCTCCACAGCCCAGGTTCAAGCAATTCTCCTGCCTCAGCCTCCCAAGTAGCTGGGATTACAGGCACGCGCCACCACGCCTGGCTAATGTTTTTGTATTTTTAGTACAGACGGGGTTTCACCATGCTGGCTAGGCTGGTCTCAAACTCCTGACTTCAAGGGATCCATCTGCCTCGGCCTCCCAAAGTGCTGGGATTACAAGTGTGAGCCACCATGCCCAGCCTTTATTTTCTTTTAACCACAACTCTTTTCCTTTACTTTTTTCTTTTTCTATAATGCATTTTTCTAAATAATAATAATAATTTTTATTATAGAGATGAAGTCTCACTATGTTGCCCAGGTTGTTCTCAAATTCTTAGACTCAAGCAATCCACTCACCTCAGCCTCCCAAAGTGCTGGGATTACAAGTGTGAGCCACCATGCCCAGCCTTTATTTTCTTTTAACCACAACTCTTTTCCTTTACTTTTTTCTTTTTCTATAATGCATTTTTCTAAATAATAATAATAATTTTTATTATAGAGATGAAGTCTCACTATGTTGCCCAGGTTGTTCTCAAATTCTTAGACTCAAGCAATCCACTCACCTCAGCCTCCCAAAGTGCTGGGATTATAGGCATAAGCCAAGGCACCCAGCCTATGATCCATGTTTAGAACACAGAATCAGGGGAAAAAAATTAGTATCATGAAAAAAGTATTAACATGCATACTATTACTACATACAAGGAGATAACTTAAAGGCATGCTTGATCCAATTTGTCCAGTCTTAACGAGCTAAAGAGTTTATATACTGTTACTTTGCTTTATCCTTGGCTAGTTGGTTCCTAGGACTAGGAGTAACACTTTCGAAAGCAGGCAGTGGGCAATGGCCATAAATACATGAAAAGGGTAGAAAACAGAACAGGAGTCAGGTTTCATATACTGCCACCAAGCTTAACACCAGCTTAGTTTCACTGTCTTTTTTATTTTTTGGGTTTTTGTTTTGTTTTGTTTGTCTAAGACACAGTCTTGCTCTGTCGCCCAGCCTGGAGTGCCGTGGTGCAATCTCGGCTCACTGCAACCTCCGCCTCCCAAGTTCAAGCAATTCTCTCTGCCTCAGCCTCCAGAGTAGCTGGGATTACAGGTGCCTGCCACTACGTCCAGCTAATTTTTTTATTTTTAGTAGAGATGAGGTTTTGCCATGTTGGCCAGGCTGGTCTTGAACTCCTGACTTCAGGTGATACCCCCCACCTCGGCCTCCCGAAGTGCTGAGATTACAGGCGTAAGCCACTGCGCCCAGCCTCATTGCCTTTTTAAAAGTATGTAGACCTCACTACCACCCAAAAGATAGAGCCAAAGAAAACACAACTCTAGTCCTCCTTTGGTCCAGTAACTTGCTGGGTTTTCATTCGTTCCTGCTTCATCTAGTTGACTGTTACAATTACGTCCCAAGTTGCTACTCTCTGTTTTAAAACTTTTATTGGCTTCATCCGGTTAATGTACACCAGTAACTTTTTCCATATACCCTTCAATTTCTTCAACTTGCACCAAATATCCACTATCTTATCTGGTTGCTACAAGCACTTTCCCTTTTTATGCCACTCTTTATAAATTAACATATCTTACCCTAAAGACCTCTTCCTGGGGTGCCTTTCCCAGTATTACTTTCCCTTTAAAAAGTGTACATTTAGATATCCATATACTTAAAGGTGGATATTTTAGCCACAAAAGGCCAGGGATGGATCAAAGGGAGCATTTTAACAAAGGTAAGTGTGACGTTCTCTTCAAAAATCAACTATCTGGGGATAAAATTAGAAAGATACAAGTAAATAATCTATGAAAAAAAAGACTGGATGGAATTTGACTAAAAGCTTAACAGTATGAAAAAATTGCCAAAATAAGTCAATGTAAGCTTAAGAAAGTCTAGAATGAGAGATACTAAGAGATTCCACTATATTATAAAGTAATTATACTGTATCTGTACTATCATATATGGTTCTCGAGATTACTTTTTAAAACAAATATTGATAAAATGGAACATGTCTAGGTGAAAGTAACCAGAATGATGATAAAGAAATGGAAAATAGTATCAAAATAGTATCAAAAAGAATACTAAAAACATCTGAGGATGTTTCACCTGGAAAGGTTTGAACTTGGGGAGAAAGAGAATAAGGGGAACAGGCATAAAAAAACTTCAAATATACACAGGGCTAACAAGCAGGAAAGGAACTGGATTTATTCCATAAGGCTCAAGAGAAAACTATAATAAGAACTTTTTTTTTTTCTGAGACGGATTCTCACTCTGTCACCAGGCTGCAGTGCAGTGGTGCAATCTCAGCTCACCTCCACCTCCCGGGTTTAGGCAATTCTCCTGCCTCACCTTCCCAAGTAGCTAGGACTACAGGCATGTGCCACCACGCCCGGCTGATTTTTGTATTTTTAGTACAGATAGGGTTTCACCACATTGGCCAGGACGGTCTCAATCTCTTGACCTCATGATCCACCCATCTCGGCCTCCCAAAGTGCTGGGATTACAGGCATGAGCCACCACACCGGGCCTGAAACAAGAAGCTCGCTGCCACCTCAGCCTCCCGGGTTCAAGCAATTCTTCTGCCTCAACCTCCCAAGTAGCTGGGATTACAGGCAGTACCACCACCCCTGGCTACTTTTCGTTTTTTTGTTGTTGTTTGGGTTTTTTTTTTGAGACAGTCTCACTCTGACACCCAGGCTGGAGCGCAGTGGCACGATCTCAGCTCACTGCAATCTCTGCCTCCCAGGTTCAAGCTAATCTCATGCCTCAGCCTCCCAAGCAGCTGGGATTACAGGCACACGCCACCACGCCTGGTTAATTTTTTGTATTTTTAATAGAGATGGGGTTTCACCATGTTGCCCAGGCTGGTCTCAAACTCCTGAGCTCAGACAATCTGCCTGCCTCAGCCTCCCAAAGCGCTAGGATTACAGATGTGAGCCACCGTGCCTGGCCTAAATTTTTGTATTTTTAGTAAAGACAGGGTTTCACCATGTTAGTCAGGCTGGTCTCAAACTCCTGACCTCAGGTGATCCACCTGCCTCAGCCTCCGAAAGTGCTAGAATTACAGGCGTGAGCCACTGCACCCGGCCTGAAGTAAGAAGTTATAAGGGTTTTATCTTCATCTCAGAATAAAATCTAACAATAAGAGCTTTTATTTTGGTTTTTTGAGACGGAGCTTCTCTGTTGTGCAGGCTGGGGTGCAGTGGTGCAATCTTGGCTCACTACAACCTCTGCCTCCCAGGTTCAAGCCATTCTCCTGCCTCAGCCTCCTGAGTAGCTGGGATTACAGGCATGCACCACCACGCCCAGCTAACTTTTGTATTTTTAGTAGAGATGGGGTTTCACCATGTTGGCCAGGCTGGTCTTGAACTCTTGACCTCAGGTGATCTGCCTGCCTTGGCCTCCCAACATGCTGGGATTACAGGTGTGAGCCACTGCGCCTGGCCTTTTTTTTTTTTTTTTTTTTTAAATTTTTTTTGAGACAGGGTCTCACTCTGTCACCCAGGCTGCAGTACAATCACACAATCATGGCTCACACAGCCTCGACCTCCTGGGCTCAGGTGAACAGGTGATCCTCCCACCTCAGCCTCCTGGGTAGCTAGGACCATAGGCATCCACCACCACACCTGGCTGATTTTTGTATTTTTTGTAGACACGGGGTTTCACCACGTTGCCCAGGCTGGTCTCAAACTCCACAGCTCAAGTGATTCACCCACTTCAGCTTCCCAAAATGCTAGGATTATGGGCATGAGCCACTGTGCCTGGCCAGTAAGAGCTATTTTTTTTTTTTAAACGTAACTGGTTGCGTTGTGAGGTAGTAAGCTTCCCATCTCTGGAAGTGATCAAGGAAAAGTTAGCTGACCATCTGTCAGGGATTTTATGAAGGGGACTCCTGCACCTTTTCCAACTGAGATGATATGCCTCTAGATCTTCTGTTTGATAATGACTTCATATAACAACAACGACAGTTTAAATACTTACCAAATTCTTTTCAATATCTTGATCTGTGTTTACCTCTGAATCAGCCGTCTTAAAGTCAGTCTATAAAGGAAAAAAGTTATATTTAGAATTGTTTCAGAGACACTTTAAAAGAGGCAGAATCACTAACACCTAGAATTCTGCCACAGGTAACTAACTTTTTGCTCTTTCCCCTTACCAGCTTCCAAGCAAGCTAAGCAATGTAGTTCTGGCAAATGGACACCAACATCCACCCTGCATTAATCATCAGTCCCACAAAATAACCCAAACAAGACCCAACGACTGACTGAGAGAAAGCCTCAAGTCTGAGATGAGATGTCTGCCCTCTACAGTCTGTTGTGCCCATACTTTCTCCTACAACAAAGCACACCCGTCACTAGAAGGCAGGATACACTGTACTTCTTAAGATGTGACTCAGAGAATTAACAAGGACTCTTCCTGCAAGGACAAAGGGGATAAATACAAATGCTAATGTCCTGAACTCATCAGTTACTCAGTGAAAGAGACTACGTAGGTCATAAAGTTCCTACTTGCCGTAAGATGAGACACTAGCTACTGGCTTTCTTATTTACTGAACATCAGAATGAAGTCATTGCATGGCACTGTATGAAAGTAGTACGATGGCTGCTAGCAAAAAAACAAAAAACAAAACAAGCCAGCAAGTTCTCCACCAAATATGAAGAAATAGCTCCTACCCTGAACCCCACCACCCCCCAGTTACATTTTAGTAGTAGAAACTTGACACTTGACCTGTACAGCAATGTTCTGAGAAAGCTTCAGGGAAGAGCTATCTTGATCATCATCCTGATCCACTCGGACTCCTTCAACCCCATTTGCTGGAGACACTACAGGTCGGAAATCCAAGCCTGTGTCCCTGTTACCTTCCTTTAGGATGGAGGCTTGTGGGGATTTCTCTTCAGAGCAATTCCCGGAAGCAAGCTGCTTTGTATGGCACCCTGCCTTAAGAGACCGAGTGGCTGGATGGAGGTTCTCTCGGAGGCTTGTGTCCCCCTCCTCTCCTGCTGTGCTGGCCACGTCCTTCAAATCAGACTGAGATCCACTGCCAGAAAGACAAAGGGCTGTGGCTATCAAGTTTTCTCCTAAAACCGCCGGGTGCGCTGCTGAGGTGTCACCTGCTGATGAACCAGGATTCTGCTCTGAGTGCTCCAAATGGACATTTCTGTTATTCTCCTTGGTTATCGTTTGGCTACTTACACTCAACAGGGGTGAGTTCTTCTGTTTCTGTGCAGAGTCTTTGGTGCTATCAAACACATAAGATGAAAAGAAAAGTTATAATACTTTTAACTACTAGAAGAACAAAACTAGACTATGTAAACCCTCCTGACTATCACAATGAAAGAACTTAGTTTCAATCCAATGATTTCTATCCCATATGCAGGTAGTATAGCTTGGCGGTTAAGACCTAGTTTTTTGTTTTTTGTTTTTGTTTTTAGAGAGGGTCTAAACTCTTGTCACCCAAGCTAGAATGCAGTGGCGCAATCAAGGCTCACTGCAGTCTCAACATCCTTGGCTCAAGCGATCCTCCACCTCAGCCTCCTGAGTAACTAGGACTACAGTAACATGCCACCATGCCCAGCTAATTTTTTGTATTTTTTGCATGGTTTTGCCATGTTGCCCAGGCTGGTCTCAAACTCCTGTGCTCAAGGGATCCATCTGCCTGCATCAGCCTCTCAAAGTGTTGGAATTATAGGCGTGAGCCACCACAGCCAGCCAAAAACCTGGGTTCTAAAGACAGTCTACAGTAAATGGCCAAACATAAATGATTCTGAAGATCCAAATAATTTTTGAGGGCCAACTGGAATAAGTTTTGGGGGTATCGATGAATTAGCCTAATGCTAGTTAGAATATTTCAGTTATATGTACTAATTTAGTTATACATATTATAATAAAATATTAACTTAGAAATATTGTTTTGATTCCTCTCTCACCTTCCACAAGAATAATTTTCATTCAAACTCATTACAGAGATCTTTGACCAGAACCACTTTTTAGGTTCTTCAACAGTTCCAGAGTATAGCATCTACACTTTAAGTTGTCTAAAGTACAGACAATTTTGAATCCAAAATTGAAGCTGTCAATAGAAATTTTATCCCACACAGTAAGTAACCTATGCTTAATATTAGGATATTCTGTCACTTGTCACAGCCATTCAAGGTGCTGCTTTAATTATTTATTGATTGATTGATTTTTTGAGACAGGGTTTCACTTTGTCACCCAGGCTGAAGTGAGGGATTGTTTTTTAAAGGGGTCTTAAAACATATTTACAATGACATCCAACATTCACAATTGTACATCTTTCACCCAGGAATTAACGCTTATGTTTAATTTATTTGACCCCACCCTCTTTTTTTAAACTAATTCTATAACTGACACTCTTAACCATACCCAACCAGCAGAGAGGATTCAAGTTGATGCATCTTTGTTTCCTCAATCATACTAGTTCAAAATAAAACAACTGAAAGAATACCTCGGTGAGGAACAATGGCTCATGCCTGTAATCCCAACACTTTGGGAGGTCAAGGCAGGAGCATTATTTGAGGTCAGGAGTTCAAGACTAGCCTGGGAAACATGGCAAGACCTTGTCTCTACAAAAAAATTTTAAAAGTAGCTGAATGTAGCGACGTGCACCTGTAGCTCCAGCTACTTGGGAGGCTGAAGTGAGAGGACTGCTTAAGCCCAGGAGGTGGAGGCTGCAGTAGGCCATGATCGCACCACTGTACTCCAGCCTAGGTGATAGAGGGAGACCCTGTCTCAATGTAAACACTTGAAGCTGATTTCTTCCTGCTGGGAGTTAACTGTGAGGAGGTGCTTAATTAAAAATTCAGGCATATATAGTACCTGAGTTTGAATCCTGACTCCGCCCACCATTTACAAGCTGTTTGACTCTTGGCAAGTTACTTTATTTGTAAAACAGAAATAATACTATCCTCCTAATAGGACTGTTGTGAGGATTCCATGAGATAATCCACATGAAGTATTCAGTATAGTGCCTGGCATATAGTAAACATTCAATAAACCTTAGCTGCCATTATTACTAGTGTATGTAGTTGACTTTATCAAAACTCTGACTCCAACATAGCTTGGAAACCTTGGGCAAATTACTAACCTCTCTGTGTCTCAGTTTCCTCACCTGTAAATGGGAATAGTAATATTATCACTACCTCCCGAGACTGTTTTAAAGATTAAATGTGTTAACACATATAGAACTGTAGTTAAGTGTTAGCTATTGTATTAGAGGACTCAGGTACTCTAGAAAATAGCTGAGGGAGGGCCAGGCGCAGTGGCTCACGCCTGTAATCCCAACACTTCGAGAGGCTGAGGCAGGCCAATCACAAGGTCTGGAGACTGAGACTATCCTGGACAACATGGTGAAACCCTGTTTCTACTACAATACAAAAAATTAGCCGGGCATGGTGGTGGGCACCTGTAATCCCAGCTACTAGGGAGGCTTAGGCAGGAGAATCGCTTGAACTCGGGAGGCAGAGGTTGCAGTGAGCGGAAATTGCGCCAGGGCACTCCAGCCTGGCGACAGAGCAAGACACTGTCTCAAAAACAAAACAAAACAAAAGTTGAGGGAGCTAGGTGCAGTGGCTCACCCCTGTAATGCCAGCACTTTGGGAGGCCAAGGCGGGCAGATCACTTGAGGTCAGGAGTTCAAAATCAGCCTGGTCAACATGGTGAAACCCCATCTTGCTAAAAATACAAAAATTAGCTGGGCTACCAAGCAGGCGCCTATAATTCCAGCTACTTGGAAGGCTGAGACAGGAGAATCACTTGAAGCCAGGAGGCAGAAGTTGCAGTGAGCCAAGATCATACCACTGCACTCTGGCCTGGGGCACAGAGCAAGAGTCTGTCTCCAAAAAAAAAAAGAGTTGAGGAAGAATACACAGTCAGCCTCTTTATATAGACTGTGGTCCACATTCATGGATTCAACCAACCATGGACTGAAAATATTCAAAAGGATAAATGTTTGTGATGATGGATATGCTAATTACGCTGATCTGATCACTATACATTACATGTACCACATCATCACTATGTACCCCCATGAATATGTACAATTAATTATTGTGTCCATTTATTAAAATATAAAAATAAACCACTTAAAAGTAAAATACCCAGCCTGGCCAACGTGGCGAAACCCCATCTCTACTCAAATACAAAAATTAGCCAGGCGTGGTGCCGGGCACCTGTAATCCCAGCTACTTGGGAGGCTGAGGCAAGGGAATCACTTGAACCCAGGAGGCAGAGGGTGCAGTGAGCTGAGATCACGCCATTGCACTCCAGCCTGGGCGACACAGCAAGACTCCATCTCAAAAAAAAAAAAAAAGCCAGCGCGGTGGCTCACGCCTGTAATCCCAGCACTTTGGGAGGCCAAAGCAGGCGGATCACGAGATCAGGAGATGGAGACCATCCTGGCTAACACAGTGAAATCCCCTCTCTACTAAAAAAACAAAAAATTAGCCGGGTGTGGTGGCAGGCACCTGTAGTCCCAGCTACTTGGGAGGCTGAGGCAGGAGAATGGCGTGAACCTGGGAGGCGGAGCTTACAGTGAGCCAAGACTGCGCCACTTGCACTCCAGCCTGGGCCAACAGAGTGAGACTCTGTCTCAAAAAAACAAAAGTGAAATAGATTTAAACCATTAAAAAAAATTTCAGAAAAAAATTGGATGGTTGCATCTGTACTGAACATGCACAAATTTTTTTGCTTGTCATTATTCCTTAAACAACACAACTATTTACATAACATTTACATTGTATTAGTTGGTATAAATAACCTAGAGATTAAAGTATATGGGAGGACATGCATAGGTTATACACAAATACTACAACATTTTATTTATTTATTTATTATCTTTTTAATTGCTTTAAGTGGGGTGGGCATATGCCTGTCCCAGATAAAATACTACACCATTTTATGTAAGGGACTTGAGCATCTATAGATTTTGGTATCCTCAGTAGGGGTCCTGGAACCAATCTCCAACATATACTGTGGGATAACTATATAGTTAATTTAGTTCAACATTGTACATAACAATGTATTACATTAGCTACTATGAGATGCAAGTTTGGGTAATTGCGTGTCTGTGGGTATATGTATTTAGAATCCATGTACACATACCAATGTAACATTTCTCATATATAACACATAAACATATGGTTAAATGAACATACAGTCCACATAGGAAAGGGCTGGAAAATATTTGCATTTTTTAATGAGTTTGAACCCATGTATTCTATTTATTCTCCAAACATTTAGCATGCCTGCTGAGTATCAGATGCTGTGTTGGATACCAGAAATACAAAGATAGATCAGACAGTCCTCTACCTTTAAAAACCTAGTGCAGTGCCATCAGAGCCAAAAAGAAAGACCAGCTACACAATACCATCTCAGAAACCCTTTACCCAAATGAATCTTCCCAGTCAGGAGTCCACACATTACCTTAGACCATCTGGGAGACCTTCGTCTGATTTGGAAGCACATAAACTAGAAGATTCCGGAGGACTGGGGGCATTGGCCACAACACCAGCAACCTCAGACGCTGCCATTATGCTCTGTACATTCAGAAACAAATTACAGGCTACAAGTTTCCAAAGTTTAAAACAAATGTATCTCTCCCCCCTCAGAATGTCCACACAACAGAGCTGTTGCAGTAAAGAAATACAAAAACCTGGGCTCCGGGAGAAAATACTTAAGAGTATTAAAAGAGACATTGTATACAAAGTCCTAGCGGGCAACAATCCTCAAGAGTCACTGTATTTACATAAATATCTCGGAGTCTGTGTAAAGATCTTATTTTCACTTTTGGCAGAAATGTAGTCATTTCAAACAATAGATCTTAGTCTGCCAGGATCTTCCAAGTGGTCCCAAGCCTACCTTGTCTACTATCATTTATAACGAAAGATGTACTTTTCGGACTAGTATCAATCAGATCTCATGTTTTTAAATCACTTTATGGCTGTTACATTCAAAGCATTCTCCACTAATTTAAGTGAAGTTTTTGGAGGCGCTTGCCTGTAAGCGAACAAGTAATGCAACACTGGGCAATCCAGGGTGCATCTTTTACTGTCAGTGTGCTCCCCACAGATGGGAAAGGCCTGATACCCACTATCTGAGGAAAGTACAGACTCTTCAGAGTGACTAGTGGTGCAAAAAAGAATCCTGGGTTCTCTAGCTTGAAAATGACAAGGTGAAAAACATGGTAACATAAGTAAGGGAACTGGGACGGATGCCTTTTTTAAAAATCAAAAGGTCATCTTCTATGCTGCAGAGCAAACTTATGACCTTATGAGGAGAAAAGAAAATCAAAATACTTGGGAGGTGGGGGTGAACGTAGGGTTAGTTTGCATTCTTGCTTTTATTTTAACAGCATCACAGGTATTGCCCCCGGAACACTGAAGAGCGCGCGGGGTAGACAGGCAGATGGGGCTGTGTCAACACCTCAGTCACAGCCCACAGACCCTGTGCCTCAGTTTCCCTCATTATACAAAGCTCCTGGGAGAAAATGGGCCCCAAATCGCCACTGCTGCTCCCTCAGGTGCAAACATCCCGTCCCCAAGGAGCCCAGGGCTGGGGGGTCCTCTGCGCCCGGTGAACGAAACCCCAGGATAAGGGTCATGCATGCAACTCCGCGGCTAGAGAGCCCGTGGCGCGGGTCGGAACAGCTGGCTGGAGGGTCGAGTGTACCAAAAAGAACTCCGCAACCCGGGGCGACCACCAGCGAAGCGGAGGCGCCGGAGCCACGGGTCCTCGGGCGAGAACAGGGGACAGACGGGAAGAGGACAATGGGGGGAAACGGCGCTGGGTGGCCTTGGCCACCCTCCACAGGGGGCTGCTAGGCTGGCCGCTGCCTCGGACCAGCCCCCCTCCACCCCTTTCCCTTGGC